ATAGGTGTATGTAACTGAATAATTCTTGTGATTTTTATCACAAAGAATACTTTTGCCATTTGAAAAATCGTTTAGCGGGGACGAAACACGTCGTGGTAGCTATTCTCACCCATTCATCCACACCCTCAAGATGTATAGAATGAAACATGACCTCTGGAAGATTTTCAAGGTGAAGATGGAAGAAAAGAGAAATGAATGAATCATTGTGTGAAGTCACAATCATATTTTGTATCTTTTCCGGCTTGTTTCTTTCTCATTATTAGTCATCGGATAACATTTTTTCCCAGTATTACCCATTTCACAACGTAACGCAATTACTGTTTTGTTTATTATTCATCCTTATTTCAACTTGCTATTTTTATTTTCCCTTCATGGGAGAAAAGGAAGATAAGAGAAAACAACATATGGTACATAACAGGTACTCTGATGAGATCAAAAGTCTGTGTTACACATTACTTTTAAACAAATGGCCCTCGATCGTTTCAACGAGTTATTCAAGGACTTTGACGATTTAGAAGTGGTAGATGAGGATGCTGTGATTCCCTCAACAGATTCAGACCTCCTTCTTCCATCTCCAACACAGTATACAGATAAAAGTGAGAAAGATACGTTTTCTTCACAATTACCAGTACTAACATCGACATACGCTCGTCAACGTCCACATTCTCCTGAACTCCAGGTTTCATTGTCACCTCGTCCTTCGAGATCAAGAACAAGTACTGCTCCGTTATCGGATTTAGACATACTTCTTTCATCTGCGGCACAACAGACAAATGAGACCCGTATTTCTTCTTCATCACCACCACGGACACCAAAACATACTCGTCATCGTTCACAGTCTCCTGTACACCATGCCTCATCATCACTTGCCTCGGCATCAAGAACACACGCTGCAGCTGGCATATTTGCTCGTACTTATAATTTACCATCGCGTTCAGATCTTGTTTCACTTCAGACGATTACTATTCTAGAGCATCTGAAGACTACAGTGTCTGTTCATGGAGGTGATAATAATTTGGTACACATAGATACAATTCTCAATCCATCTCCTCAATGGATATTGCATGGTTATGTAAATCAACATCTTGAAATGGATGAGATTGTGAAACGTTTCCATAAACTAGTAAAGTTTGCTATTGAGTTGGAAGCGGAGTATGAGGAAGCAATGCTGCATAGCATACGAGGTCTCATTGATCGTATGAATAAGGTTCGTGTCGAGGGCAAAATTTGGAATACTTTTATCAGCTATGTGAAAGATTTGCTCAAGGAAGAAGCAGACAAATTGCACACTCTTCACAAAGATCACATCGAAACGTTATGCCGTTCACTTGTTGTAACTGGATGTATCAAGATGAACGTATCTTATGAAACTAAATTGAATGATTTCAACGACTCCTTTACGAGAGAACATTCAATTGATAGGTCATATGAACATATTAAGCGGCAAGCCTTCAAGGCATTCAATGCCGACATGAAGAAAAAATGGAAGCCAGAAGACGTACAAGACGACAAGATTGCGAACGAAGTACTTGGTAAGCAGAGTTATAAAAAAACGTTATTTTCTTCTTCCATACAGTGAGGTCTGCATGTGCTTGTTGAGAAAAGAAAAGGTTTCTTTGCTATTTCGAAGTTTCATTTTTTTTGATAGCAGAACAAGCTTTTAAACAATACCGGGTTTTTTTACTAATTTCGAAATACAGCTAGTGAAGAGAAGAAAAGTAAGCATATCAGAAAGTTCATAAAATGATTTTACGCTAGAGTAGATTCTATCCACCAAATAAATTTGTTGGAGTAAGTTCTTTTGGAGTTAAGTACACAATGTGAAGTTAAAACTTATTGCGATGTGAAGAGTTGGTTTTGGATGATAAAATCAAGTTTAAGTTAAAAATTTAGCTTAAACTTCACGATTTTTGAAAGTCTGATACAGTTTTTTATATTTTTAGTTACCATGACAGTTTAAAATGCTGATTTTAGGTCAAAGTAACCTTTTATATTTCCAATACGTTTTTTAAAAACTCTTCAATTTCAATATCTCAAGGTGATTTTTTCAATTTGTCCCTCAATTGGGTTCTTTTACGACTATTTTTGAAAGAAATGATTTCCACTATATAGGATTTGTTCTCTATTTTTGAAGTTTATTTTATATGCGTTTCTAAGGAACATTTTACATAACTGAATTGATCGTGTTTGGTGTTATTTATAAGTGTTTATAAAACGCAAGAGAGTTTTTTTTATTCGTCTCAAGTGTCCGCTTATGCCTGCTACGGTAAACATGTATGAGAGAGTGGCATATAATCTTCTGAGCCGAGCAGACAGATAGAATAGGGTGTCTATAGATGCTTCTGAAGTACAGATGAAGTCCGTATAAATCAAGCTGTATATATCTGACTTATCTAGAAGTTTCTCTTTTTCTTTTCATAGATCAACATCTCGAAAAACTCGAAATAGAATTATCTACTGATCCATATGTTGGTGTGGTGGAAGAGAAACTTGTCCTACTACCACCTCTTCTGCTTCGTGCACAAGTATTCTGTGGCTGTCGTTCACTCTGCTTTCCGCTGTTTGACTCATCTGCACAAATACTTGAACAAATTCAGCATCACACTGTTGTATGTATTTCTACACCAACAGGATCTGGAAAGTCCACTCTCGTACCCGCTTTATTGGCAGCCGATGGTTACAATCTTATCTTTGTTACACAACCACGTCGGTTGGCTTGCTCGGCAATATCTGCTCGAGTGAACAAGACTATGGATAGCACTATTGCTTCCTGGGCTGTGTCCGGTGAACGTTCGAAAACGGATAGTAATACTCGTATAATGTATTTTACTGACGGACTTTTCAAAGAATTTTTGCAATTCTCAGAAGACAAACTTCTGTATGAAGTTGCTCGTAGTTCACGCGGTATTATCTTTTTTATCGATGAGGTGCATGAGCGTTCCATCAACATTGATCTTTGCCTGGCTTTCTTGAGTCTCATGCTTCGCAATGAATTGCACAACAAAGTTAAAGTTATTTTGTCAAGCGCTACAATTGATCCAAACATCGAAAAAACATTTAAAGAGCATGGCTACCACCAACTAAAAATCCCCAAACAGGAGCCATTATACTCGGTCACACGTCACAAAAGCCTTAAGGAGAATATGTTTGACCTCATATTAAGGCTAAACAACGACTGCAAACAGAATGAACAGATTCTCTGTTTTGTCAAGTCCACTGGTGAAGTCAACCAATGTGTTGACCTTCTAAAACTTAAGAGTCCCGGAGTTCTGGTAGACAAACTCATAGAATCGCAATCAGCACAAGAACAGCAGCAAATCATTGCCGACCGACGGATCATCTTTTCTACCACCGTGGCTCAGACATCATTGACTTTCCCCCGTCTCAAATATGTCATAGATACTGGTTTGATCAACGTACCTATCTACGATCCAAAGACAGATACTACAGTACTTACCGAACAGTATGCTTCAAAAATGACCATCCTACAACGGGTAGGTAGACTTGCACGAACATGTGATGGAGTATATTATGCATATTATCAAACGGTAAATAATAGACCTGTTTATCCAAAACCTCAGATATGTCAGTCTAATTTAACCGATGTGGAATTTTCTTTGAGAAAATCTCCGTTCGAAGATGGTCTTCATTCTTTCAAACAATATCTACCTGATGCACCTGAAAAAGAATATTTGGATAGTGCTGTTCGACGATTACAGCACTTGAATATTCTTGATCACGCCGGATCTTTCACGCCTGTTGGCAATGCTATTGCACAATTGCCTGACTTTGGCAATGTAGCCATGAACGTATCGGTCTATTTTGGTCTGACGAAATTCAATTGTGGCCGAGATATAATTCGACTAGCAGCTTTTCTAAGTGTTATGAACACTGCTGGTAGTCTCCGTACGATTCCTGACAGATTCAAGCAGTCAGATGAAGGTGATTTCATGACTTTGTTATCTGTCATGAACCATTTAAAATCACATCAGAATGCAATGGATAATCAAGAGTTCCTTCCTATTGCACATCAGCTTCGACGTGCGTTAGCTCGTTTAAAATCTTTTGAAAATTTCTTCGAAAAAGCATCGCCACAATTGTGTGAAGCTTCAGAAATATCTGCCCATTATTGGCCAAACGTTGCACGTTCGTTGCTGGCTGGATATTGGGAGCACGTGTATGTATGTATGAAGGAGCTCAATGGAAGTAATACACAATACTATCGATACAATATCTCAGACCATGAACATGCACAACGAAAACAGATAGCAGCGATTGACTACGCAACAACAATTGATCTTAAATCAAACTGTCCAACGGTGGTACTTGCTCGTGATGTATTCTGTGGAACTGATAGACGGGGTTGTATTCTCTCTTTTGTTGGTATTATTCAGTCAAGTTGGTTAGACAATGCGTTAGAACGAAAACTTGATGTTACGCCACAAGAGAGAGAACACTTTCTGGCGAATATACGGCCCACAAACGAATTTATAACCATTGCTCAAAGTGTCGCCAACACAGCTAACTCTACAAACATTGAGCTAATCGGTAACGCGGGAGATGTGTTGGACACTGAACGTTTTATACGACAGAAGCTTCAACGCTTGCGCAAGTGGCATTTAGTGGAAGATAACGAATTAAATAACAATCCGACTTTGCAAATGAATGTTCGTAATGTTCGAAAAAATCTTCGCTATTTCAACCCTCTAATATGGGGATCTTTAAATGAAAAACAGGTTGTGGTGAAAATGGAGAAAGATGGCCAAAACTCAATTACGATCTCTGTCAATAGCCGTGAAGAAGACGGTAAAAAGATCAAAAAGATCATTGATATGTTCGTATGGTGGCTTCGTAAATGTGTTGCTGTACGCAATGAACATTCTGGGGTAATTCCGAAATTTCTTAACAAACGAGATGCAGCCCTCGAAGAGAGAATTGCTCGTGTTACTGATTCGGAGAGAACGCAGGACAAGCGAATGATGATGATGCGTGATGGAACTAGAGAATCTCGAATGGAAGTCGTCGCATGGGTCGCTGTATGTAAATTTAAATGTCGACTTGAAGGTGGTTTTCCTCGTGACTGGATAGTCGATCATCGTCGAGAACATCCTACATCGATAGAACCAACAAATTGGGTAACATTCAATCAACAAACAGGATTACCTGAACTTACACCAAAATTAATTCCTGCTGATTTAGATTTTCATCTCCCATTGAAGAAGTATTTTGATCTGGAACGTTTTCTTGATGAAATGCATCAATATGAGTTCCAGGTGAAAGTATTTCAAGAACCATGGCGTTATATTCTTCTCTTTGATCAATACACATCCACAGGACCTTTTATAGCAGAGTTCATTCAGCCACATATTGCGATCACACAAGATCGCATTGACTTTAACACTAACAATTTATATGTGGAATGTGACTACACAAAACAGTTGGGTCAAAAGATCGATCTTCAAGTTCCTCCATATTCTATTGATCTAGACAGCACTGTTGCTGACATAAGAGCTCATAAGTTAATCGTGCTTCGACCTGAAGACGATCATATGAACGAACGAATCAAGAAAATGACTGATCGAGGTTATGTATTGAAAGAAAGACGATTTTCTTACATGCCAAATCCACTGGAAAATAAAAATATGGTTCTAACACCAGTACCGCCAGCAGCGAATGACTATACGATGATTAAGGAGCGATTCAAAGAAAAGCTTCCACAATCGATTATCGAGTTAATTGAACAAGTACACAATCCGAATTTACAAAGACTGTACGAAGCACAGAAGACGCA